ATGGAAAGACATCTCTTGTTCTTGAATTGGAAGATTTGTATTGTTAAAATGTCGATACCCTACCAATTGATCCACAGAATCAGTAAACCCATATCAAATTCCCATTGATCTTTTTGGCAGGAATGGAAAATTCAAAACTAAAATTCAAATGGGAATCACAAGGGCTGCCAAATAGTGAAAATGACATTGAAAAATAACAAAGTTGGAGGACTCACACTTTCTGATGTCAAAAAATAAAAGAAGAACATCAAAAATGCAAAACAAACATTTGTATCAAAGAACATTTGAAAGAATTGGCAGCCTGTACGTTGTACATCATCTATCTGGTAAACATCTGGTATATACCATATACTTGTACAAAGGACTCTTATAAATCAAAAACAAAAAATAAGCAACCCAATTAAAAAAATAAGCAAAGGAAAAATACTCCGTGTTCATGGGCAAGAAAAATTAATATTGTTAAAATGTCCATACTATTTAAAGTGATCTACAAATTCAATGTCAACATTTCAATGTCATTTTTCACAGAAAGAGAAAAAAATCCTAAAATTCATATGGAACCTCCAAAAACCTTGCCTTGCCAAGGCAAACTTGATCAAAAATAATGAAGATTGGGGCAGCACACTACCTGATTTCAATCTCTGTTATAAAGCTAAAGTAATTAAAACAGCATGATAATGGTATAAGAATGGACTCGTGGACCAATGAAGAGAATATAGATCCCAGGAATGAACCAATGCATTTACAGTAAATTGATGTTTGACAGATGTGCCAAGAATGTGCAATGGAAAAAAAAAACGTTTCTTCAAAAAAGGGCTTTGTGAAAAGTAGATGTACACATGAAAATGTTAAAAAATTGGATCCTTATCTCACACCATCACAAAAATCACCTAAGAGTGAGTTAANGACATGATTCCTCCCCTAAGACCAGGAAGAAAATAGTGAGACTCATCTCTATTATTCTATTTAATATTTTCTTTGAAGTTTTAGCCAGAGCAACTATTCAAGAAAAACAAACAAAAGGCAATCAGATTGAAAAGGAAGGTATGAAATCATGTCTATTCACAGAAG